CGGAACCGCTTCCTTGCGGTCCAGCTGGGCCCTGATCCCGGGAGGCTGGGGGCCAGGGGTCGGCGCGGAGCGGTTGGTGCGCGCCGGAACTGGGAAGGGGCCCCAGGAGGCAGGACGCAGCCACGTTACGCCCAAGGTCACGCTGCAAACGGCAGCTGTAGAGATGTCGCTCTAACAGCGGGCTACCTGGACTTTGTCGCCATCGAGCCCTGGAGGTGAGGAGGAAGGCCAAGAAATTCAGGCTTGCAGCCCAGAGGCTCAGCCCCGGCTTCCAGAAATGGAAAATGCCGTCGGTCGGGAGCCAAAGCTCTTTGCTCTAGTCTTAGCTGTGCCAGTGACTCCCTGCGTGGCTTTCGCTGGGCCTCCATCTACCCACCAGGAAAGTGAGAGGGTTTTTGGATGGCTCTCCCTAATTTCCAGATTGACTTAAATTCATTTCCCTGTCAGACTTCCCCCACGGCTTGCCCCTAGATTCACCAGCCACTTCCTTTCCTTAGCAGCAACTTGGCTGTGTTCTGGACCCTCTGGTTTCAACTAGTCTGAGATTGACTGGAATTAACTGTGTGGGACAAGAAGCTGCATCCAGTCCCTGAACAACAGGCTGAGGACTTGTTTCTTGGGCGTTGAGTCAGTAATCGTTTTTACTGGCTCTCCACTTAGGCAGACTTTGCTACCTCCCGTAAAGACAAACCTGAGGCTTAGAGACAGGACCTGGCTGCTCTGTCTGCCTTTGGCCCTGTTCTGTGCCGATCTACCCAAATCAGATTGTTTTAAAAACCAAATTTGTCTAAGCATGATGCAGTAGAAGGGAGCACAGGCCAATCTGGAAGTTTGGGATCTGGTGCTGGCTGTGCACCTTAGGCTAGTATCTGCCCCTCTCTGGCTCAGTCTTCCCTGATAAACAAGGGATCTGTCACATGGTCTGCAAGGACCCTATGTCTTTGGTATCATAACAATAGAAATAACAATCATAATTGTTTCCTTACTTTGACCAACAAGGCCCTGCCACAGCAGGTCCTGTCTACCCAAAGCAGCCAGACTTGCCATTGACCTACCTCAGGGCCTTTGCACTTGCTATTTCTAGTGCCAGTAACACTTACCACCTCCATTTTCTGCATAGTCGTTCTTCAGATCTCCACTGAAATTTGACTTAGGAAGTTCAACACAAATTAGATGGGATCCCTGGGTTTATATCCTTATGGCACATGTTGACTTTGTTATACTTCAGTGTTTATATAGTTCTTTGTCTGATATCTCTGTCTCTTATTCTTTAATGCGTGTAAATGGCAGGAGGGCTGGAAATCTATCCTGTTCCCTAGCATCTGGCACATAGTAGGTGCCCAGAAATTTGTGGAATGAATGGATGATCTCATTTAATGCAACAATCATGTGAGGCTGGCACATTGTGTTCCTCTTCAGTCAGGAGGCAGAGACTCAGAGAGTGACACTCCTAGGGTCACACAGTGAGTGGGTGGTGCCAGAATTTGAACCCAGTCTGTCTCTGACTCCAAAGCCTGAACTTCCACCTCACTAACGTCTCCTTGCAGGATCTTCTGCTGTGAGGAAGCGCCACAGCTCTGACCCACGAGGCCTGGAAAGAGAGGACCTTTAGGTTGTGTGTGCTGGGTGGGGGCGTGGTCTTGTCCGGCTCAGTTTCTCTCTAGCCGCTGGCAGACTCGGGGTGGACTTGCCCCCCTCTGATAGGCTCATGGCACATCGGCTACAGATACGACTGCTGACGTGGGACGTGAAGGACACGCTGCTCTGGCTGCGCCAGCCTGTGGGAGAAGAATATGCCACCAAGGCCCGGGCCCACGGGCTGGAGGTGGAGGCTGCCACTCTGGGACGCGCCTTCAGGCAGGCCTACAGGACTCAGAGCCACAGCTTCCCCAACTACGGCCTGAGCCAAGGCCTCACCTCCCGTCGGTGGTGGCTGGATGTGGTCTCACAGACCTTCCACCTCGCGGGCGTTCCAGATGCCCAGGCTGTGGCCCCCATTGCTGAGCAGTTGTACGAGGACTTCTGTAAGCCCTGCACCTGGCAGGTGTTGGAGGGGGCCGAGGCCACCCTGAGAGGGTGCCGAAAACGAGGTCTGAGGCTGGCGGTGGTCTCCAACTTCGACCAGCGACTGGAGGGCATCCTGAGGGGGTTGGGCCTGCGGGAACACTTTGACTTTGTGCTGACCTCTGAGGCCGCCGGCTGGCCCAAGCCTGACCCCCGGATTTTCCAGGAGGCCTTGCGGCTTGCTCGAGTGGACCCGGCAGTAGCAGCCCATATTGGGGACAGTTATCACTGTGATTATAAGGGGTCACAGGCTGTAGGTATGCACAGCTTCCTGGTGGTTGGCCCAGAGCCTTTGGACCCTGCAGTCAAGGGTTCTATACCCCAAGAATGCCTCCTCCCCTCATTGTCCCATCTCCTGCCTGCCCTTGACCGCCTGCAGGGCTCACCTCTAGAACTTTGAGTCTGATGAGGGAAGTGGCTCCAGCAAACTCTGGAGATTGAGAGTGCCTTCCTTCCTGAGATCTGGCCTTTGCCCCTCTCCTTCCAGCGTCCAAATGCGCTCTGACTATAAAGCCGTGGATACAGGCCTTTGAGCCCTGCTTCTCACCTCTGCCGTGGCTTATTTATCACACCTGTGTCTTTCCCACCCTCCTCGCCTACAAGATTCACTGAGGGCCCAATGACCTTCAGAACCAGGCGCATTCAAACTTTGTTTTAGCAGCAGGGCCCTTTTGTTATGGGAGATCTTACTGGAACCCTAATATATAAAACAGCAGGGACGCCTGGGTGGCTCAGAGGGTTGGGCCTCTGCCTTCGGCTCAGGTCATGATCTCGGGGTCCTGGGATCGAGTCCCATGTCGGGCTCTCTGCTCAGTGGGGAGCCTGCTTCCTCCTCCACCTCTCTCTGCCTGCTGCTCTGCCTACTTGTGATCTCTCTCTGTCCATGAATAAATAAAAATCTTTAAAAAAAATAAATAAAAAAATAAAACAGCAAAAGCAAGAAACTTTTAGGGTTGAAACAGGTTCTAGAGCCCCGCAGTCGGGCTCTGAAGGCTCTTCAAGTCCCCCCGGGGAAGCAGGAGATCAGAGGAGCTTAGTTTGGAAAACTTAGTTTGGAGAGCTAAGCTATGCTGTAGGGATATGTCCTCTAGGACCATATAGTGTAAGCAAGGTTTCAGACAAGGAGCACCCCAATTACATCATGAGAAGAAACATCATTTATGTTGGCCATGTTTTAGTCCTTTACACACATGTATAACCCTCAGAGCTACCTAATGGGCAGAGGTAGTGGGACTCGCACTTCATAAGTGAGAAACAGATTCGGAAGTGAAGGAGCCTGCCTGAGGCCACAGCTTGTATGGGAGAGCCTGGGTTCCAGTTTAGGAGTGCCGGACTCCAAAGCCCTTGGCTTGAGCACTGACTTGCAAGGAGAGAGCTGTGTCCTTGAGACAGTGCAGTGGAGATCCTGGGAGACCAAGGGAGGTGTTCTACAGGAGGCTAGTTTTGAAGGGCACCCCGGTCATAGGTGTTAGCACGGAGGTAGGAGAGCACAGGGAACAGGGACCGGAGCTTGAGGTGGCAGGTGTAGGACACATGGGGGGAATGACTGGAGACCCAAGAAGCAGGCTGGGTTTTAAAAATTCTGTGTCACTTCCTGCCTCTCCCCTCTTCACACTCTTGTCCTCTCACACCTGCTTGGTGTTTACCAGACTCTTCTATTCCTTGCCTACTGCCAGGGACATAACACGGTGTTGTGTTCTGGTGCCAACAGCCGGGGAGGGCTTCAGAGTGGCCCCGAACTGCAGTGACATTCAGTGGGCAGAGGAGTAAGACGCATTCCTGACAGGAGGGCCATGAACTACAGACTGAGGGGTGCCTGAGTTAGATGGGCAGTTTGGGGAGCAAGGCATGAGGGGGCCTTCAGGTGCCGAGTAAAAAGATGGGCTTTGACCCAGGGTTCTGGGCAGAGACTGCCCACGTGAGGGCAGGGAGGCTCTTCTCAGACTTGGCCTCTCTCTTCCTTGGGCTTGGTGCAAAGCCCAGGTGACATTAATTCCCAAGTACCGGGCAGTGAGGATGTGGGTTGTGAGCTGTGCTCTCACAGCTGCAAGGGCCTCAGAAGTCATCTCAACCAAAAAAGCTGCTATTCGGTCTGTGGACTGGATTTGATCTACCCAGCGTTTGGAGTAAATTATTGAGCAAACTGAAGAGTGGGGAGGGCTCTGGCACTCATCTTTGAGCCCAGGGGTCTGAAGTTGTAGGTAAGATTGCCTTTGTTCCTAGATAAAACAGGAATGGTGAGGATCACTGTTGTAATGTGACCTCAGAGAGCAGGAAGGGGCTTGCCCTGGGTTCCAGCAATGCAGGGCCCAGAACCATCTTAAGGCTCGTCTGGCTGGGTGTGCTGCGCTGGGCGGGGGGAAGAGGGTGAGGAAGGGCTCTCTTTCCTAGCCGTTGCATCTCTTAAGATGTGAGCTAACACTTGGGGGATTTGTGCGATCACCCACAGAGGACATGGAAGACACTTCAACCTTTTACAATCTTTACTAACATACATGTTCCCTACGTCGGGCCTTCCTACTTCATCAGCTGTGTGGGGCCTGAAGGCCTCACCCCAGGTCGCCCTGCAGTGCGTCTCAAAAGACTCTACCACACACCCAGGCACCTTTCCATCCAGCCGCTCGCTCGCCAAATATTTATTGCACAACCGGTAGGCACCGGACCACGTGCTGGATGCCAGACACGACACAGTGAACCAGATGCCCTCAGAGGGGCAAATGCCTGGTGGATTTGGGAGCCCAAGGCCCAGGGGGTAGCAGGCTCCCCACAGATAGCCAGCAGGTCCCCACTGAAGCCAGACCTGAAACAAGACAGAACCCTCCCCCCTCCGCAAGCGGCCCCCTGGGCAGAGGCAACATCTGGGGAAGAGACCGCTGGGTAGGAACTCGGCCTGGAGGCGTGGCAGGGGCTAGACTGGGGCTCCTGGCGGCCACGGGTCAGCGGACGATGGAAATGGTCTGGTCGGCCACCGCGAAGACTGGGAAGAGGGGCCCCGAGAAGGGCGCGCGGTGGACGTGGAGCACCGTGCCCGAGGCTGGCTCGTAGAAGAGCAGTTCCTGCGCCTGCAAGTCTAGAAGCACGCCCAGCTGGCTGGGGCAGCGCAACAGCCCCAGGGGCTGGTGCTGCCCGTCGTGTGAGAAACGGAACTCCTGGTCGTAGCGGGAGAAGACCCAGGAGAAGGTGTTGTGGCCCAGACGAGAGTCACTGCCGGAGCCCTTGCGGGGCAGCTGGCCCAGGGCCACACCCACCTTATAGGCGCAGCTGTTCTGGACGTTCACCATCCAGGTGTGCAGCCCAGCCTGGAAGGACGTGGCCGCGAGGGCATTGGGCCAGTGGTCAAAGCGCTCGGGGGCATCTGCACAGGCCTTGGACTTCTTGGCGTTGAAGGTCAGGGTCCTTCGATCATCTGACAGTTGCAGGAAGGGGCTGACGGTCCTTTCGTCGATACGCACATCCTCCGTGCCTGCCAGGAAGAAGTCTCCGAGTCGCCCAAGGCCCACCCTCAGCCCTAACCCGGCCCTGTCAGGCGCAAAGGGCTTCCTCCCCACTCCCTGGCAGTGAGCTACCTCGCACAAGCCCCTTCCTCTGAGCCCCAGTCCCCTCATCTGTAAAATGGGGATCAGTCGGACTTATCACAGGGTGGGCGTGAGGATCTGAAGTGCCGAGCATTAGTAAGTGCTCACCAGGTTGTGGCCATGACAACAATAGTTCTTACTAGTCTGAGACCCTCATGTGTAAACTCGAAAGAGGGCCCAGAGGGAAGCAAGTTGCCCAAAGTCACACACCTAGTTGGTGACAGGGCAGAATGAAGACCCAGCATTTTGTTCCCATATCTAGCATCCAGCACTGATCAGAGCGCATTCCCATTGAGCCTCTCTGCGGCCCCCAGATCGGATCTGTCCCTGGGGCACAGCCCCAGGGATCTAGGAAGCATCAGATCCTACTTTCCAACAACTTATGAGATGGGACTGCTGGCAAATCAGGCACTCTCTGATAACAGAATCCAGAGCGGACGAGCTAGAGCTTGAACTCAACATTGAAGGCTGACACACAAGGGAGGAGGGCTAAAAATTGAGGAACAAGTCAACCCATTACCCTAACCTCTCTGTGAATTGTGCAAACACTCCAACCAGGGGCACAGAAGCTGCCACCTAGCTTGGGGGGTTCTGCTTGGAGAACTTCCGCACTGAGTGGGAACTCCTGCAGGGAGAAGGGCAGGCTGCATTCAGCCCCATGGCCTTAGCACGCAGCCCGGGGCCAGGCCACAGCCGGCCTGAGTCAGTGTCTGGTGAGGGAGTAAGTGAGGCAAACCTAGGCAGCTCAATTCTCACTCCACATGCCCTCCAGCACTTGTACCTTCTTAAAGAGAAACTCGGTTTCCAAGAAATAATACCAAGCTGTCCCATTCGGGCAGGACAGAACTGGGACTTACAGGAACCAGATTTTTCTTAGAGCCCACAGAGCAGTTTGGTCTGGACGCAGGAAGGACCCAGCTGCACCAGGCCTGTCCAGCACCTTGGCTTCACGAATGACAAGCCTCATCTAGTGTCACTGTTTGCTTTAGCTGCCGTGCCAGATGTTCTGCTCCCCGGTGTGACCCAGCAGCACACCCCAGCCAGTCAGCCAGCCACCCAGTTGTTCCCATTGGCGCTGGGCCCTAACAGTTCCTAACCTGAGAGGGACCCAAGAACCGCCGTCACCCAGAGCTGGGTAAGGAGTGGGCTCCGAATACACTTCTCATTGAAGTTTAACTTGTCTGACTCCTGGGGATCCAAGATGCCCTCTGCTTCCTCGGTCCTTGTGGAGGGGAGAAAAACAACAAAAAGCAGGTTCAGGAAGGTTCTGGAAATGGATCTGGATCAATATAGGATGATGGAAAAGGGACAGAAGTAAAATCATCTTCCCATGAGGGTGATACCAGGATTGGCAGCCAGGCCCCACACAAGAGCCCCCTAAAAGGAGGCCTGAGCCAAACAGGAAGCTGGGCTTTCCCCTTATCCCCCCCCCCCCCACAGGGGCCTTAATTCCAGTGAGGCAGACAATTTCCAGGGAGGTAAATACTTGGTGCCAGTATTAGAACTTGGAGTTGGTCGGCTCTGTGGGAGAAACAACCTGCTGGGTCTCTTAAGTTAGCAGCAGAGCAGGGACGGGACCTGAGCCACTCATGCACCAGCCTTTCCTCCCCCATCCTATGTGGAGAAAACCTTGCCTCCTTCCAAAACCTACTGGTTCAGTAAGAAGGTACAGCCACTCCTCTACTCTTAAAATGCAAATATCCTTGAGGGATCCCACAAGTAGGGACTATCAGTTATCATCCAAACCATAAATTAGTTCCAGTGCTTTGCTCCCAATAGCCACCTCTCCTCAGCTCACAGGGGCACTAGGTTGGGCTGGAGGAAATATGGGATCAGAAGATGCCTAGGAGGGGAGAATGACCATTTATTAGGTATCCAGTTCCCTCTGTAGAATCTCGCGTAATCTTTGCTTTAACCTGGGAGAGGGTTGTTATCCCATTTGACAGGAAAGAAAAGAGATTCAAAGAAAGCACTCAGCTAAAAAGGGGAGCTGCGTTCAAGTCCTGACTCCAGGCAAAAATAGAACAAACCCAGCCTGGCATCCAGGCACTGTTCAACATAAGTTTCCCCTTGATCTAAAATGAAAATGATCAAAGGGGTATAGGGCAAAATAAGGGTTTGCCAAGGAGCTTTGCAGATCTCTGAACTGGGTTCTGAGAGCACACTCTTCCCCTAATTTCCTGACTCTGCCCATAATGAAGGAGCAGGGAGAGAGAGTGGGGCACATCTCATGGATGCAAGCCCTTTGCAAGACTGCCAGTGGCTGGCCTGGATTGGGAAGTGCAAGGTGAACAGAGCCCTAGAAAAGCTGAGAGCAGGCTCTGGTAACAAAGGCTCTTTGTGGTCAGAACAAGAGAGGGTCTGTTGCCACTTTCTCAAAGCACTGCATCTAGGGTTGGAGGAGCCCCAGCCATCAGGCGGGGAGAAAAGAGGAACGCGTGTTGGCAGTGCTGAGTCAAGCCGAGGTAAATCTGAGGCCAGTTGTAGACGCTACAGTCTAGACAACCAGCTGGTCCAGCACCTCATGGTTCAGAAGGGAAAACTCGTGGGGATGCCTGGGTGGCTCAGTCGGGTAAGCATCTGCCTTCGGCTCAGGTCATGATCCCAGAGTCCTGGGATCGAATCCTGCATCTGGCTCCCTGTTTGGCGGGGAAGCCTGCTTCTCCCTCTGCCTGCCGCTCCCCCTGCTTATGCTCTCACTCTTGCTCTCTCTGACAATTAAAATCTTTTTTTTTTTAAAGTATTTTGTCGTTATTATTATTTTAAAATGCTAAGGAATAAATTCCAGATTAAATCAGGAATTCCAGATGGATTAGGAAACAAAAAACATAAAACAAAAACACACCAAACACTGTTAAGAACTTTGCAGGCACAACTGGCAACATTTGAATATGGACTGTATATTAGATAATAGTATCACATCAACAGTAATTTCCTGAGCTTAGGTGACACTGTAGTTATGTAAGAGATGGTTTTTGTTCTTGAAAGAAAGATGCTGAAGTATTTAGACCTAAAAAGTCTCACTTTCTGCAACTTACTCTCAAATAGGGTAGAAACAATAAGTGCCACATATTCATTTGTTAAATAGATAGGAAGGAAGAGACAAACAGACCAAGAAAGAGAGCAGATGTGGCAAAATACTAACAATTAGAATTTCTAGGTGAAACTCCTTATACTATTTTCCAATTTTTCTCTACATTTGAAACATACCAAAATAAAAAAAAATTTAAAGATTAAGTTTTTTTTTTTTTTTTTTCAAAAACCAGAACAGCTTAAAATTGAAAACAGGATGAAGAAGATAAAGGAGAAAGAGAAGACTAGCAGAAGTGTGGAAAGATTAAAAGAGGGGAAAAGTAGGAACAAGCCAAGCCTTTAAAGGAAACCGTAAAATAAAGCTGGGGGCATCCACACTGGGGGAGCCTTCACAGACTTGCCAAAGAGTGAGGTAAATCTATACATACTGACACGGAGAGATTCCAAGAGAGTCTGATAAGTTATAGAACAGCAAGTAGTAAATCCCTAGTGTGTTAAAAATATATATATATATTTAGAGGTCGACAAGTCCAATCATACTCTCCCGCGACCCTGTTTACATAGGGAAGTCCCACAAGATACATCACTGACTGTTAAAGCTGATCACCTCCAGGGAAGGGGATTGGGAAGGGAATGGGAAAAAAAAAATTATTTTAAGTTATCTCTACGCCCAGTGTGGCGCTTGAACTCACAAACCTGAGACCAAGAGTCACATGCTCTACCCACTGAGCCAGCCAGGCGCCCCGAGACGTTTTAAATTTTCAGTGGTCTTATACTGATGGCATTCTTTTCTCTTTCTCCCATGCACATGTATTACTGTTGAAATTTAAATATAAAAACAGCTAAGAAGAATGGGTTGTGCTCCCCAGATAGAGCTCTGAAATCTCTCACAGAAGCTGCAAGAATTTAATTATTTTGCCTGGCAAATTACATCCTCTTGGCCACTTCCTCGGGCTCTTGCTCCCAGCCTCTCAGGACCTAGGAGAGCCTGGTGAAGTGCTTTTATTACTGCTTCATTAAAATGCAAACTGTGAGTGGTGGTAATGCACACCTAGGTTTCAAAGATTCTTTTCTCAGAGAAAGGGGGACTGAGGCAGAGAAGAGGGTGATGGGACAGGTGTGGGGTGTGCGTCTGCGCCCCAGCTATGGGGCGTAGGCAGGTCCCTGCCCTTCTTTGAGCCTCAGTATTTTCATCTGTAGACGGCGGGGGAGGAGTGAAACACTCCAACAGGGGGACTGGAGGTTTTGTAGCAGGATAACATTTCAGAAAGCCCTTGGCAAGCCTCCCATTGCTAAGTGTTTCTTTTATGACCCCGGCCCAGGGATCTAAAGCAGGTCTCCAAGTTAGACGCAGGAAGACCCCTGTCCAGGGAGCATGGCTCTGGGACAGGCATGCAGCCAGATGGCACACGGTGGGCTTTCTCCCCAGATCAGCGGGGCCTGAATGCCACGGACTAGTTACAGGCCTGCGGGCAACAGTCTGCACATCTGCCCAGGCAAATGACGGGGCCATACTCACCTCTCAAAAATCTCCTGCTCCTTCTGCTGTAAGAAAAGAAAACAGAGTCAGGCTGGGGACCAGGAACTCAGCAGGAAGTCAAGACTTGAGTATGTTCGACTGGCATGGAGGGTGCCATGTGGGCAGACTCTGGGACAAAGCATTCTGTTCCTGCTTTAAGACCCCAAGCAAAGCTCTCTGGGCTCTTCTTCACACAGCTCTCACCGCACACTGGGAATGGATCGCCCGGATCACTGGCTCCCACGCCCCGGGGCAACCTGCGGTTGCCTCACAGGACCCCCGTATTTACCAACTCCTCGCCACCCTCCCCAGACTGCCAGCTCTGGGATGGCTGGGACGCTTACTGATTCTTCTCCTGTGACCGTCCCAGTTTGGGACAGAATGTGCTCTGATGTGGAAGCAGTAGGACCCGGTGAAGGCACAATCTAGGGCAGCGATGGAAACTGCCCTACTTGAACGGCAGAACAGCTCTGTTGTTCCACATTCTGATTTCTCTGCTGGCATATTTCCTCACACGTCAGACTGTCCCATTAAAACTGCAAGCATCTGCATCTCTATAGAAAGTACTCTGCAGGGATATGTATCAAAGTATGACCCACGGTCGTTTCTGGGCGGTCCGATTTAGGGACACCCGGGCCGCTCCCTCCCTCCGCTTATGAGCCCTGTCTCTACCTCCCCACTTCCTTCATCATAGTGGCTCCTCTTTACCTGTCAGGCACCAGCTTCGAAGTTACTTCATTCAGGAAGCTGCCCCTGACCCCTGCCACCCGCAAGCCTGGACTGCGGGGTCTCTGGTTCCCAGTGATGTCTTCTACCAGAACACATAACCCTCCACTATCAGTTTAGGTATTCATCTGCTTCGTAAGAGGTAATTCATCTGCTTCGTAATGAGGCGCTAACAGCTGTATCCTGTAACCCCACCCCAGGGCACAACGGCTCATAGTAGACACTCAGCAAATATTTGCTCACTATTGAAAGAATGGTTAGCAGGTGCAAAAAAAAAATCCATTTAATTTTATTTCTTTTTTAATTTCCTTGCCTCATCCCTGCTCTGAATTATCCTTATCCACCCAACTCCTACCAATACACATTCTAGATGTTTTAGACTTCGGGGTGTCTGGTCCACTGGCTGTGTCCTCACCCCTGCCTGACTTACAATCAGCTGGAGGTCATCCAGATGGGTGAGCATGGCCACCAGGCTGGTCCGGATGCTGTCGAGCTTCTGCAGCGCCTCAGTCCAGTGGACTCGCTGTGTCAGGATGCTCTGGTGGGCCCGCTCCTCTTCATCATGCACCTGTTCCAGCAAACGCTGCTCCTCGCTCTCACACAAACTCCTCACCACACCTAGCCTCTGGATGACCAGTTCCCGTGCCGAGCTGGCCGTGCTCTGGTGAGGGATAACACAGGGAATTGGGTCCTAGCCAAGCCCCAGTCAAGATTAAGAGGATCTGGGCTCAGTAAGAAGGAGTGCTGGGATTGATTAGCCATGTCTGGCACAGGCACAGTAATGGAAGGAACAGTGCTTATGCCATCCCAGCTTTAAGAGTTCCCAAATATGGAAGAGAGGAAAAAATGAAATGGGAGGAAACCAGAGAGGGAGACAAACCATAAGAGACTCTTAATCTCAGGAGACAAACTGAGGGTTGCTGGAGTGGAGGGTGGTGGGAGGGATGTGGTGGCTGGATGATGGACATTGGGGAGGGTATGTGCTATGGTGAGTGCTGTGAATTGTGTGAGACTGATGAATCACAGACCTGTACCCCTGGGGCAAATAATACATTATTTGTTAATTTAAAAAAAAAAAAAAAAGAAAAGAAAAGAAAAAAAAAGGAGAGTTCCCAAATATGGTTTAAGGTAAAGAAATGTGAGATTCAGACATATAGGTCATATCTTAGATTTAGGATCACAGAATGGAAGAGCTGGGCACGGTCTAGGGACCAACTAGAACTAATTATTTCATAGTTGAGAATACCAAGGCCAAGGGATCAAGGTCAGAGAATAAGAGAATTACAGCATGAAAGACCCTACAAAGTCTTCCCCATCAATAGGATCCATGCCAACAGTAATCCAGTCGATATTCTGACTATGTCTGAATGAAAAAAATCTCCTTCTTTCCTAAATCTGTCCATTCCAATGGCTTCCGTGGTAGACTTCTTATTCATGCCGGGGGCATGCCATCCCCTCCAGGTTAGCTAATATGGCCCTCCTAGTAGTCAGCACAGGGTCTAGCACACAGGAGGTCCTCAAACAGTCACTGAATGACTGAGGGGAAAGTTTCTTCTGATCAAATCAAAAATCTCTTGGTAGCGCTCACAGGCCAAGTCAGGGACAGAGCTGGGACTAGAACCCAGCTCTTTGGACTCTCAGTCCAACACAATTCTCTTTCCCCCAGTGCCATCTGACAATTGATCCTCCCCAAATGTTGCATGAAACACCTGCAGTCTTGCCAGACAAGAGAGTAGAGCAGTCTCTTTCATGCCGAATGTCGGGGAGAGCCAACAGCTTTCTCTGTGCCCTGCCTGTGCAGACCTGCTTTGTACAGTGAAAGGGGTAATGACCCCTGCTTTACAGAAGAAACTGAGACCCACGATTTGCCCAGAGGACAGGAAGAGAGTGAACCTAAGTGGCCTCAGTGAACCCACGAGTTAGTTCTAACTCCAACTTCAGTGTTCCCTGAGCCAACATAAAACACTAGTTAGGAAGTTAGGCTTTATTTTTTTTAAGATTTTATTTATTTATTTGAGAGAGAGAGAGACAGAGCATGAGGGGGAGGGGCAGACGGAGAGGAACAAGCAGACTCCCCACCTAGCAGGGAACCAGACATGGAACTCCATCCCAGGACCATAAGATCATGATCTCAGCCGAAGGCAGAGATTTAACCCACTGAGCCACCCAGGCGCCCCAGGAAGTTAGGCTTTAGAGACAGACAGTGCCTAGATTTAAACCTTAACTGATCCACTTACTCTCTGTAGGATGCTGAACACATTACTGATCTTCCCTATGCCTCTGTTTTCTAATCTGCTAAATGAGGGTAATAATAGTACCTACCTTATGAGGTTATTGTAGAAGATTAAATGAGTTAATGTATACAAAGTAAACAGAACAAAGCCCAGCACAGAAGTGTTCAACAACATTAGCTATTGTTCTCTCTATCCCACCTTGCTGCCTTGCCCACAGGGGTGGGTGTCCGTAGTTACGTCTGTACTACGTCTGTGAGCAGGACCAAGAACAGATCCCGGCCCAAGATGCAGCAGACACTCTCTCACTAGAAGACTGTAATCAATTTCAGCACATTTCTCGACTCATTCCTGGTAAAGCGCGGCAGAGAAAAAAAAATTTCCCTTTCCAAAGATATGCCAGAATAAACTAAACAGTATCCTAAAACAAAGCACAGAAATGCTGGAAAAATAGCCCAAAGCATCCTTTTAAAAGTTAAGCTGCTCTGGCAGCTAAGTAAAGGAAATCCCCTGGAGTCCAAATGTGGAAAGGAAACTAAAAACCGGTGTAATCCAGGGCTCAGACTCTATTGCCCTGAATGCAGCTTGGCATTTATTTTAGAATTTTACACTCCTCTAAACTTAAGAGCCCAGTAAAGACAGAATTCTATGGAAAAATAGACAAATCTACAGCATGATATGAAATTATAAATGCTCCCTGCCAACAATCAGTAAATATGGTAGATAAAAAAATTAGTAAGTATGGAAAAGATCTGAATGTGAAACATTTATGTAAAGTGACCGTGCCTTAGGGTATAGAGCAAGTGTCAACAAATTTCAAACAACTGATATGCAGACTACAATGAAGTTAAGTTAGAAATTACTGGAAAAAAAATAACAATGATAATTTAAAAAGTAAAACCATATATTTGGAGATTTAAAAGCCTATTTCCGATAACACATAGTAAAATAACAAATCATAATGGACATTTAAAAATACTTATAACTGAATGAAAATATCGCATCACATTTGTGAGAGGTCTGCTAACAACACCTTGATGAAAATATATGGCTTAAATGCTGACCTTTTTTTTTTTAAAGATTTTTTTAAAAATATTTATATTTTTATTTATTTGACAGACAGAGATCACAAGTAGGCAGAGAGGCAGGCAGAGAGAGAGGGGGAAGCAGGTTCCCTGCTGAGCAGAGAGCCAGATGCGGGCCTCAATCCCAGGACCCTGGGATCATGACCTGAGCCGAAGGCAGAGGCTTTAACCCGCTGAGCCACCCAGGCTCCCCTTAAATGCTGACCTTGAGAAAGAAGACAGACTAAAATAAATAGACTGTGTTCAGCTGAGGGAGTTAAATAACAATGGCATCCATCCCCCCCAAAAAAATTAGAAGGAAAAAATTATAAAGATAAGAGGAATGGATGCATAGGGGCGCCCTGGTGGCTCAGTCGGTTAAGCATCTGCCTTCGGCTCAGGTGGTCCTGGGATCAGAGTCCCTCATTGGGTTCCCTACTCAGCAGGAAGGCTGCTTCTCCCTCTCCCTCTGCCTGCCACTCCCCCTGCTTGTGCTTTCTCTCTGTCAAGTAAATAGTAAATAAATAAAATTAAAAAAAAAAAAAAAAGAAGAAAGGACGCCTGGGTGGCTCAGTCAGTTAAGTGTCTGCTTTCGACTTGGGTCCCGCATCAGCTCCTTGCTCAGTGGAGAGCCTGCTTCTCCCTCTGCCTGCTGCTGCCCTTGCTCGTGCTCTCTCTGTCTCTGTCTCTCTCTGACAAATAAATAAATAAAATTTAAAAAAAAAAGATAAGAGGAAATAATAATGAGATTTTTTTTTTTTTTTAAGATACAAAAGAGGGGCGCCTGGCTGTCTGAGTTAGAAGGGCATGTGACTTGATCTTGGTGTTGTGAGTTTGAGCCCCTTGTTATAAGGTCACTAGAAAAAAATAAACTTTAAAAAGAGATACAAAAGAGAGGATCAACATATTAAAAGCTGGTTCTTTGAAAAGACTAACAAAATAGACAAGCCAGTGGCAACCTTAATCAAGATTAAGAAAAACTTGGGGGGGCACCTGGGTGGCTCAGTTGGTTAAGCTTCTGTCTTTGGTTCAGGTCATGATCTCAGGGTCCTGGGATCGAGCCCCACGTCAGGCTACCTGCTCAGCAGGGAGCCTGCTTCTCCCTCTCCCCCCTCTCCCACTCCCCACTTGTACTTTCTCTCTCTCTAAAATAAATATCTAAAAAAAAAAAAAAAGATTAAGAACAACGTTATGCCATTAAATTTAAAAATAGACAAAATACATAATTTATCTAGAAAAAAATTACTAAAACCAAAGAAAAAGAAAGAACCCTTTAATCATGGTGGGAAATGAATCAGTAGTTAAAATTCACCTGCAAAGGGGTGCCTGGGTGGTTCAGTGGGTTAAAGCCTCTGCCTTCAGCTTGGGTCATGATCCCAGCGTCCTGGGATCGAGCCCCTCATCGGGCTCTCTGCTCAGCGGGGAGCCTGTTTTCTCCTCTCTCTCTGCCTGCCTCTCTGCCTACTTGTGATCTCTCTGTCAAATAAATAAATAAAATCTTTTTTAAAAAATTCACCTGCAAAAATAACACCATCCCGGCTAGTTTCACAGGAGGTGTCACCAAATATTCAAGGCACAGATAATTCCAGTCTTAACACAAACACCTCCAGTGGAAACAGAGAGCTCCCAACTCATTGAGTAAGATTTATAGAACCTCAACACCAAAATCTGATACGGACTACGCAAAAAATGAAATTCATAGGCTAATCTCACTCTTGAGAATAGACACAAAAATCCTGAAACACACACCCAAAACTCAAAACTAAGATTAGCAATCCAACCTTAGAAATTTTGTATAAGGGTGACACAAGGGGAAGGAGAGGAGGGGGCTCGGTGATAAGAGGGTAGCACGAGGGATCCTTACAATGGAACTGTTCTCTATCTTGGCTGTGGGAGACATCACACGAATCTACATTAGATAAATCTGCACAGAACTAAATACACACACACACACACACACACACACACACACACAGAGATGAGCGCAGGTTAAACTGCTGAAATGTGCATCAGGTGGGTTGTACGGATGTTGATGTCCCGGTTATGTTAGGTAACATGTTATCATTGGGGGAACCTGGACAAAGGGCACAGGGGATATGGCTCTATGATCATTTCTTACAACTATATGTGAATCTATATATATAATGAACCTTAATCTCAAAATTTAAAGTAAAAAAAAAATACATATGATAAAGCTTACTAGAAGGAATTCAAGATGGTTTAGTATGAGAAAGTCTTATTAATGTATTGCCATGTTTGGCAATTGATTGATGGGGAATAAAGCATATCTATAAACTGACCAATGGCATCATTAAGAACCTGCAGCAAACATGATAAATAATGGAAAAATAGAAGCAATCAGAAGAGAACTTACACAAGCTCTGCCCATCACCTACCCACGTACCTGCATGTGCGCCCCTACGCTCTGCCTTCCGTTTCAGCATGTGAATGCCCAGGCTCTTACCTCCAGCTACCTCTCCATTTGTCTACTAGATCCCATCCCCCTTGTTGTACCTGAGTATCCCCCTTTCTCCTTCACCATTAATTGTCTCCACTCTACCAGACGATGACTACCAGCATACACAGAATAGTTTCTCCCACCTTAAAAATACCTTCTTGATCCTATACCACCCCCCCGACTATCATCCCATTTCTCAGCTACTTTCTTACAGCAGAGCTCCTCAAGTGTTGGCTGTGCCAACTCTTCCAAATTACTCTTCTGTTCTCTCTGAAACCCACTCCGATCAGACTTCCACTCCACCACTCTACAAGACACTCCCTCCATCATAATCTCCACTGATGAACATGTTTTTCAATCCAATGGCCCACTCTCATTTCTCACCTTACCTAACCTCTGCAACGTTTGACATCCCACCTCCCTGAAACCTCTTATGTGGATGCAACGTCTTAGCTTGACTCCTATCTCATTCGTTGCGCCTTCTTGGTCGACTTTGCTGGTTCCTCCTATCCTCATCTTCCTCTTCCTCTTTTTAATTTCAATGTGGGGCTCCAGCTCATGACCTTCAGATCAAGAGTCCCAGGCTCCTCCGACTGAGCCAGCCAGGCGCCCTCCTTTTATCCTTCCATCTTCTTAATGGTTAACTGTGCTCTGGAGCTCCGTCCTTGGATCCCTGCTTTATTCTTATCTATTCTTAATCACTTAGTGATCTCATCCCTTCCTGTGGCTTTCAGTTTATATCACTCATTTATACACTCATGGAATCTGTCTTCAGCCTAGCCCTCTCCCAACTTACACATATCCAGCTACCTCTTCAACATCTTCCCTTGGATATCTAACAGGCGTTTCAAATTTAACACATCCACATCTGAACACCTAATCTCCTCCCCTGTCAACCATCACTCTACATGTGGTCTTACCCCACCTTGGTAAATGGTTACCTCATCCTTCCAGTTCTCAAATCAAGGCATTTAAAGAAAAAAAAAAAAAGTTAACAGTTATCCTGCCCCCCTCCCGTACCTTTCTCTCTTGCCTACATCCAATCATCAGCAAATTCTGCTGTTTCTCCCTTCAGAATAAACACAGAATCCAGACACTTCTCACCATCACTCATGTCCAAACCACTCTTGTCTTTCACCTGGGTTATGACACCAGCTTACTAATCATTCTCCCTGCTTTTACCTATGGTCACTTCTCAACATAGTAGCTAGTCTTCCTTTTAATTTTAATTTTTTTAATTTTTAAATTTTTATTTATTTTTAAAGATTTTATTTTATTTATACGGCAGGGAGAGAGGAAGAGATAGTGAGAGGGCTAGCAGGTAGAGAGAGAGGGAGAAGCAGGTCCCCCACTAAGCAAGGGGCCTGATGCGGGTTCAATCCCAAGACCCTGGGATCATGACCTGAATCGAAGGCAGACATTTAATTGACTGAGGCACCCAGGTGCCCCACTGTGTTCCTTTTTAATCTTAAGTCATATCATCTTACTGTGCACAGAAATATCGAAAGACTTCTGACTTTACTCAAACTAAAGGCAAAGCCCCTGTGTGGCCAGTGGGGATACTATGCAGCTCCCCCCATACCCTGCCTCTCGGACGTCACCTCCTGCTGCTTTCTTTCACTCTGCCTCCAGCTCATAGGCCCCCTTGCTGCTCCTCCAATGTGCCAGGTGCGCTCCCACCTTCGGGCTTTTGCACTTGCCATTCCTTCTTTCTAGAACTCTCCCTCAGATATCTGGTCCCTTCCCTCACCTTCTGTAAATTTTGTGCAAATATCAACCTTTACTTAGGTCATTCCCGATCGCAGCATATGCAATCACAAACCCCGTTCCCAACAAGGACGTCCCCCTTCCTGTGTTGAACTTCTCCATAAAACCTTCGACCTTCTGACATAGCATGTATTTAATTATTGGCCTTCCCCTACCCATCCACCCGCCCCGGCTAACGATGTAAGTTTCAGGAAAACAGGAATTTCCGTATGTTTTGTTCACTGTGGAATCTCGAGCACAGAGAACAACAGTGCTTGGCACGTGGTGGGTGCTCACAGATTTGTTAAACGGCGAAACGCTGTGAGTGTACCCTTTGAAGTCAGCATCTGCTACACTCGCTTCTTTTGATATTGTACTGAGGCCCTAGCCAGCGCTGTCAAGGCGAGAAAATAAAAAGGATGAAGAAAAAGAGTGTGAGAGAGAGAGAGAGAGAGAGAGAGAGAGGAATGGTCATGCTAAGAGCCACAGGACTGAGCACAGAAGAGCTGCCTGGCCTCCCGGAAGCTTCTTCTTTCCTTCAGGTTCTTAGAGGCTTCTGTATCCTGCCAGGAAATTTCCTGTTTTTGCTCAAGCTAGTTCAACTGGGTTTCATTCTACACAATCAAAAGAACCTTGACTAAGACCGTGCCAAGCCTGCACCATTGTCCATGCTGGGGAAGGAAGGATGGCATGTCCTGAAAGAAATCCACAGTCCCGACCTGTGAGGGGCATAGCTGAGAGTGAAGAGGTGGCAGTGGCAGTGGGGTCAACTGGATAAAGGATTGGCAGAGGGGGGTCGCAGAAGAAGCCCTGGCCTGGGAGTCAGAAGATCCAGGCCCTGGATCTGACTCTGACAGGAGGTTGTGGACCCGAGGCAAGTCAGTTAACCTCTCGGTGACCCATTTCCCCATCTGTCAACAGGACTGTAACTGCCGCCTACTGCATAAAGATTGTCGTAAAGAACACTCCACGTCCAAGTCCAGAGGTTATTTTCTAATTTAGGGGCTGACCACTACACACTCAGATGGTGTTAGAATGCTACCCTTCCTGATCCTTTACCCCAAAAAAGTCCTTTTCCAGCAGTATTTGCCCCAGTGTGGTACCAGGAATAGTCTTCTCTGCCCAGATGGTAAAAGCACAGCTCGGAGAGATGGGAAACCGACCTTCCCGGGCATCCAGCTTTGCTAGTAGCACAGTGAGTCTGTGAGGTTGGGAAGGGATCCCAGACTGGTCCACACTCTCGAGGCTGGAGTCTTATCCTAGGAGGGGTCCAGAGCATAGGAGAAGGAAAACTACCTACCACTGCTCTCTGGTTCTTCTCTGGCAGGACCTCGGCGACATACTTGGTGATGCTGGCACTCAGAATCTGCAGCCTCTCACACTGGTCCACGATCCTGTTCTGCAATGCAAAGGACACCCATGGTGTCTGGTTCCATGTTGATCCATCCACTCCATCCCACCATCCCAGTGATCTCCCCCCTCTTATCCCACCTCAGCCACTTGCACCCAGGGTCACATCCCAGACCTTGCTATTACTGAGAACTATAGCACTTTCAAATTCTTCATTTAAGGGGCCCACACCCTGCCACTTCTATCCTTCCAGATGACTAACTCTAGATTCCCCAGTCCAACCATTCTTCAGCTCAGCTGAGGCCACCCAAACGTTACTCTTACCACTTTTCTTTGTGTTTTTTTTTTTTTTAAGATTTTTATTTATTTATTTGACAGACAGAGATCACAAATAGGCAGAGAGAGAGAGAGAGAGGAGGAAGCAGGCTCCCTGCTGGGCAGAGAGCCCGATGCAGGGCTCGATCCCAGGACCCTGAGACCATGACCTGAGCTGAAGGCAGAGGCTTAACCCACTGAGCCACCCAGGCACCCCTAGTCTTACCACTTTTCAATGTCCATCACCCACTCTGTGGCTTCAGTTCCCTCCTTCTCCTGAAATCCGTGGTCCATCACCATAATCACTTGCCTGCACATGCTCTCAGCGTTCCTTCTGACCCAGCTCCCTGGCTTTCCACACCTCAGCAGAAGAACATGGCTTCTCAAACTGCCTTTCCCTAAGATGTCCCCATTCTTTAGCAATCATCAACCTCCTTACCCCAACCCCACACCCTGGGGTTACTCTCCAAGCCGGCATGTATCTAATCCCTCAGTGAGTCCTATCAGCCCTGACTCTGCAGTTCCTCTCTCTTCCTCTCTCTCTCTCTCTCCTCTGGCCACTTCTGGTCACCTCCACTCCTATTATTCTGCCCAGACAACCATTATCTCTCACAGGAGAGAAATTAGGTCCAGTCACGTCCCCTCCACACCCTCCAATGGCTCTCCAGCACACTCACAGTGAGATCAAGCGTCCCACTTTAGCCAACAAGGCCCTGTCTGATGGGACTCTGCCTACTGTGCCAACGTTACCTCCTAGCACTCTCCGCACTGGCCTTCTTTCTGTCCCATGAACACACCAAACTTTTTCTGACAACAGTATCTCTGCACCTGCTGCTTCCTCTGCGGCCAGCAGTCTTCTGGATATATAAAGGGATATAGCCCTTTATATGCAAGTCCCCTCCCCCACTCCATTCAGGGTCACCTCCTCAGAAGCCCTCCCTGACCACCCCCACAGCCCATTCCCTTACTTTGCTTATTTTTCTTTCTTGCATTTATCACACCTCTGTCTGTATATTCTGGGTGTGTTTCCTTGTTTTGTATCTTTCCCCCCACGGCTTGACTTTGACTTTGTTCGCTACGGGCCACTACCTAGAAGAAAGTTCCTTCTACACATAGAGGCCCTGGATAAATATTTGCTGAATGAATGAACATCCACTTCTGAGACCACAAGAGGTGCCACGGTTCACATCGGCCAGAGCTGGGAGCGTCCCCAGGGGAGCAGGGGAGCATTTTAGAAACAAAGATGCTGAAGCCCCCAGAGAGGTGACTTGCCAGGCCCCTGCTTTTCCACTCCATTTCTCCAGGTACTTGAACGTGACTCCTTCCTAGCCAACAGCTCCTCCACGGCTTCCCCTTAGAGCTCTGCCCTGGTTCCGTCTGCCAAAAGGCAGCTGGGTTCCTCTTCTAGCAGACCCTTGCAAATTCTCACCCCCCACAGTCAGGAATTCCATCTGACGCTTCTCTGGTCCAAATACTGAGTGAACGAAGCTCTGATCCAAATACCGAAGAACGGAGCTGCTTCGAGGAAGCTGTGATCAGCACACACCAGAGGACGAAGGAAACCCGGCGAAACTTATAAAAAGCGAGAGGACAAGAACCACGAATGTGAGAGAGAAGTTGTGAATGCTAACCATCTTGCCCTGGGGCAAAATTTCTTTGACACTAGAGGGATCACAGAAGGAGTATGAATCACATATATGATCACAGAAGGAGTAAATGTCATAAGATACTCAAAATTGGAGAAAGGCAAGAGAGAAAGAAGAGAAGGAAAGAAATTCCTCCCTCCACGCAAAGAAGTGAACATACTTAGGACCTCAGTAGGGTTCGGGGAAGACACCCCGGACAGAGGCATTCCGAATCAAGCACCTGCCCCGACACTCTGCCCCAGCCTTCATGCCCTTCCACCACTCGGATTCGGCTCTGGTAGCAACTTTTGGGGTTTGTTTTTTTTTTTAGTTTTTATTGCATTCTCACACCCATTCGCACCACTTCCTCCCTCCGATGAACCAAGAGGTGGTTTTGTCTGACCAAGTTAATGATTCCCTTGGTCCAGTTCCTGAATATTAGAAACCTTGGAGGAGTTACCGGCCTGCTCTGGGCCTCAGTTTCCTCATCTGTAAAATGGAGGTAGGATATCACTTCCAAAGTTTGGTCCGGATGGAGTGAGATGATGGACATTGAAGTGCTTTGGCGCTTGCAAAGTTTCCACTATTTCGCAAGTTTATCACACCACATTATCTGAGCTTATTTTCATCACTCCTATGGATGATGGGTAGCGGTGACAGGTAGGACCAACCAGGAGCTTTCGGGTGTGTCACTGAGTAAGCGAATCCCTCCTGGCCAGTCAGCTAGGTGTGTTTATTACCCTGCAGTCTGAGTCCCCAGGGAGAGCCCTCAGGCCTCACAGAAGGGCAGAGCACTCGGGTGAGGTTGGGGAAACCAAGCAGCATAATCAAATTGCAAGGAAATCCCCAGGGACCGCAACTAGGATGGAAGGAGGGAGGAAGACGCAGGGTAATTTGGACTCCCCAGTCTCAGATCAGGGGCAGGTGGTGATGAAGGTGACAGCTTGGAGGTAACTGGAGTGGAGGTGAGGAGGAACTCCAGGGGAAGAGATCCAACAAGAACCTCTTGAGATCCTCCCCACCCCCTCCGTTTACCCAGGTCGAGCCAGTTTGGAGTACAGTCAAGGCCAACCCCGAAAAGGAAAAGAAATCACCTCACCGGGAAACCTGAAGGGTGGACGGGGGAGGGGCTTTGAGCCCAGGGGCTGAGGCGGGAGGAGGGCGGGCTTTATCTCAGGTCAGCTTCCACCGGGGCGGGACGTGGGGCACACGCGACGTGCAGCGGCCTATGGCCCAAGGCCAGGCCTGGCTTTCACCCCTCAACAGATGCAACGAACGGAGGAAGAGTGGGCAGCTGGATCCGCCACTATGTGGTAGACTACAGAGCATTTCCCCCATTATCTTGGGTCTCTCGCACAACCACCCCAATAAATGCGCGCTATTATTGCCCTACAGATGAGGGCGCTGAAGCTCTGAGACTTACGAGACTCCGAGCTAGGTGGGGAGGAGGCGGGATTCGAACTCACGTCCCCACGACTCCAGAGGCCCCACCCTTAACTGCCTAGTTCCACGGCCAGGACCACCGGGGGGCCTAGGCCCCGGACCTGCCGCCGGGTCCCCGCCGGGTCCCCCTCGGCGCTCCGCCACGGCGTCCCCTCCCTCCCCTCTCCTCCCCCCCGCCCCGCCTTCCGGCGCCCCCGCCCGCTCACCCGCAGCTCTTCCGCGCGCTCCTCCGCCCGGCGGATGCGGTGGTCCCGGCAGCGGCCGTCGGGCCCCGCGCAGGCGGCGCACACCGGCCGTCGCTCGGAGCAGCAGAACCAGCTCAGAGCCTGGTGGTGCTCGGGGCACAGCGGCCCGGACGGCGGCCCCGCGCTCTCCTCAGACATGGCCGAGCGCCCCGCGCCGCGCGCTCCACCTGCCGCAGGTGACTGCGGGGCGGGGCCTCCGCGACCCCGCCCCCGGGCCGCGACAGGCGGCGGGGCGCGCTGGCCACCCCGGCTTCCTGCCCGCCTGCCCTCGCTGCGGCCAGGTGGGCGCTCGCCGGGACTCCCGCGCGGGGTCCGCCGGCCTCAGCCAGCTCTGTGATTTTTCTGCTGAATTAAGTCGCCTTGTATGCGTGTTAGTTTTAGGACAAACGTAAAACACCGAGTATTGTGACCGTAGCAAACTTAATTGAGCACTTACTAAGCTCCAGACTTTTGGTAAGCGCCTTAAAGCGTTTTATAATGGGCTACAATAGCCCTTTTTTGACAGGCAGCTCTGAACGAGTAGCTTGTAGATAGGTTCTGGTGTTAGGCTGCCTGGGCTCGAATCCCTGCTCACAGGCAGAGCACGCTCGGTGGCCTCAGCTGTAAAATGGGGATAGCGTCGGTACCTGCCCCCACAGACTTGTGCTGTGGCTTAAATGATTAAACAGGACCCGGAGCACACACAGCGGCTGCAATTGCTGAGCGTCTGTTAATAACGCAAGGAAAGTACTAGTATGATCCCCATTTTTATGGAGGTTAAGTAACTTGCAAGGAGTCACAGTTGCTAATGGGCAGCAATGAGACTGGAATTCAGGCAGCTTGATTTGTAGCTAATATGGTTAATATATATATATATATATTTAGATTGTATTTATTTATTTGACAGACCGGGATCACAAGTAGGCAGAGAGGGAGGCAGAGAGAGAGGAGGAAGCAGGCTTCCCGTGGAGCGGAGAGCCGGATGCGGGGCTCGATCCTAGGACTCTGGGATCATGACCTGAGCCGAAAGCAGAGGCTTTAACCCACTGAGCCACCCAGGCGCCCCTGGTTAATATTTTTTAATTGCATATTAAAGTCCAGTGAGGAACATCTGTATTAGGCTGATTTCCCCAAAGTATTTACAACCAAATTTTCCTCATTTGAAACTTTTTAAATAACGAGTATTGATAAAAACTAATGCATGTTTATTGAAGAAAAGACACTATGCAAATAAACACATCCATGTAACACCCATCCCCAGAAAAAGCCACTGTGGATAAGTGCTGGAGCTGCCTTGGGGCTTTTTTTCTTAGGATCTCGTAAATCAGTGTAAGCCCAGATTAAAGCCTCTCCTGGGGCTCCATTCCAGCCAGCCTGGGCATACAGGGAGAATGCTATTTCCCAGCCCCCAAATTCCATTTTAGGAGGTCTTGGCAGAGGCCTGAGGAGAGAACTCAGCCAAAGGGAGAAGGGGCCAGGCCTTGGGGGTCAGAAGTTATTCTAAATTCACCAGGAGTGGACAATTGTGAAAGCCCAACCATAAAGAGAAGCAGCAATGCATCCTGCAGCACTTGGGGGCCGAGGCACCTCTACCACAAGGTCCCTCTAAGTGACAACTGCACAAAGGGTAGAGAAAGATTCCCTTCTGTCCTGCAGCTTCAGCCCCTGAGGGCAAGGGCCACTGACAGCCCCAGAGCTCCTCCCCTTAAACTACAGGACCTGGGTCTGATCATTTAGTTCCTCTGGGCCTCAGTTACCCCATCTCTAACATGGGAGTGAGAATAGTATCTACCTCTGAGGGCTGCTTCAAGAATTAAATGAGGTGTTGTCTGAAAGTGCTGAGTTTGGATGTATAGTATACAGAAGGGGCTAAAAAATGTTTTATTGTATGTGTGAGGGTTTGTAGCAGGGTTTCAAAATATAAACAGTGTAAAGTTCTTTGGCAAGGGGAGGGCAGCATTCCTGGCATCAAAAGTCATTTCTAGTGGGAGGGTGAAGGCTTCATACTCTCTTCTGGGGGTGGGGCTGGAAATGGGCCACCTTAACCAGCAATTGTGGTTAGAATTTTTTGTTCTAAGAGCTGGGCATAGGAAGGGCTCTTAAACCTTCTGGTAAGAACAGAGAAAACAGAAGTGATTTTGTGTGAAGGAAAAGAGACTGTGGAGAGCATGGGGAGGAGCAGGAGTTAAGGTCCTCAGGGAAAGCAGGGCCCCTTCACTGGGTGTACCCCTGGAGCAGGCAGTGGCCCTCGAGGGCTGGAGTCAGGCAAGCAGGAAAGTCACCAGAAGAACTTCCGGGCAGAGGACTAGGAATTGCCAGGGGCTTAGGTGGAAAAGAATTTACTTTTATAAAGTGGGGATCATTGGTGGCTGGGTTGGTTAAGTGTCTGCCTTCAGCTCAGGTCATGATCCCAGGATCCTGGGATCGAGCCCTTGCATCGGGCTGCCTGCTCAGTGGGGAGTCTGCTTCTCCCTCTGCCCACCCCGCCCCCGCCACCGCTCTCAGGCTCGCTTGTGCTCTCAAAAATAAATAAATAAAATATTTAAAAATAAATAAATAAAGTGGAGGTCATCTGTACTGCCACTCAGGACTGAAGCATCAGCCCCTTCCCTTAAATGTGCATGTGCCTGACACAAGTCGCCACCAGAAGCCTCTGGATACTCAGAAACTCCCAAAAGATGGCTCTTGGGCTTTATCAGGCTTTGGAATCACCCGGAGTCTAGGGACTGTTGGGGGAGAGGAGTGGTTAAGCATTCACACTTTCTGATAAGATTCTCATCCACTAAATCTGGGGTGGAAGGAGGAATCTGCAAGTGTAGCAGTTGCCCTGAGGCTAGACCACGAATGAAGTCTCTGACCCCTCCTGGAAATGCTGTAAGGCAAGGGGGACCCTTTAGCAGGTGGTGGAATCTATTTCAGGAGTGAAGAGCAGCATTAAACAAAAGGAAAGGGAAAGAAAGGAAGATAGAAAGAAAGAAGGAAGGAAAGGAAAAAGAAAAGGAAAAAAAAGAAAAGAAAAAATTGCTCCTTGTACAGGTTTTTTTTTGTCGGTTTCATTTTCATAAACATGTACACATGTGAGCACTGGGGAATGTATTTCCTATTGAGAGGGTCAAAAAGTTTAAAAGCTGATGCTCTAAAGTGACCCCTGGATCCTTGGTGGGAGTTGGGAGGACTGTACTTGAATTTAAGGGCTTAGGCGGAACACCCCGAGCTGGGGACAGAGAATGGACACTTTTGTTACATTTTTTTTTTTAAAGATTTTATTTGTTTATTTGACAGAGATTACAAGTAGGCAGAGAGGCAGGCAGAGAGAGTTGGGTCGGGGGTGGGGGGGAGCTGAGCAGAGAGCCGGAAATGGGGCTCCATTCCAGGACTCTGGGATCACGACCTGAGCCAAAGGCAGAGGCTTAAACCCACTGAGCCACCCAGGCACCCCTCTTTTGTTACATTTTAGTCATTCAACAGATTTATTAACTGTCTACTTATGCGCCGGGCCATATTTAAGACGCCGAGGATACAACCGTAAAGAAGAACAAAGTCTACTCTCTTGAGCAAACAAAATTAACAGACCAGTCATATAATGCTGGTAAGTGAGAAGAGCTGTATGAAACATACTCGGGCATATAGACAGAGGGCTTGAGGGAGGCGCAGATCTAGAAAGGGCGATGGAGGTCGTCTCTGGGAAGAGTAGCACTACCACAGGAGAGAGACAAACCGTGAGAAGCAAACTGTGAGAAGGTCTGGGGAAGGAGCTCTCCAAGCAGATGAACTAGCAAGGGCAAAAATTTTTGTTATGCCCTGAACCCTGCTCGCGCCCTCACCAAGGAACCATACACAATTTGCGTTCTGAAAAGGTGCTACAAATATATAGACCCTCACAAACATGGTAGAGGAGCCTTTAGCCCCTACTGTATGACGTAGGTGGAACGTGTCTGGAAACACGTCCAGGAGGCTGTTAGGCTGCAGGCTTGAGCTGTAGAAACCTGAGCAAGGCAGAAGGCCCCACAGTGACCACAAGCTGAATGCCAACAGGCTCCGTAAGCGACCCACCTCAGGAGACCCCTAGGCCCTAGCTGACCAATGGGCTACTCACAAGTGGGCCCACATTCCCATACCTTCTTGCGTCCCATTAACTGTAGCTCCCCCTCCCACCACCACCTGCTTGCTGTTCCCTGCAATGTATTAAAAAAACTTCTATCTCCTTTGTTCTGCCCTGGGTGAACCCTCTCACCACCCACCTCCACCCAATCGGTCACCCCACAGAACGTGTTTATTTTGACAAAATTGGGACTATCTGTACATTCTGCCCTGTAACCAGACTTCTCACACTTGTCTATTTATGCTATTTAGTTTGGGTTGTCCTTTTTTTTTTTTTTTTTTAACTTTTTTGGTAGTGAATATTTGGGAAAGTCTGTTGAAAAGGACTGTATCTCCCTGGCCTTTACTCTCCCTCAGGCCTGCTCTTCAACCGCAGACCCAGCCCTCTTCTGCCCACCTGGCCGGAGGCCCGTGACTATTGCTGATCCCACCTCGCCCTGTCCCCATGCCTCCTTCCTCCTCAGACCCTGAGGCCGCCAAAGTCTCCGGTGACAGGACTGGAAGTCATCTGACCTGGGCTTGTACCGGTTCTTGTAAGGAGTAGCAAGAGGACTATCAACGCTGTGGCTTCTTTTCTGTGTGACCTTCTATGGCAGAAACAGCCTCAACTGTCACCTTTAAGAGGGGCTTGGCAGCCTGCCAGTGTGGAGAAACTTAGACCGCACAGTTCTCATGTGATTAAGTCCAGGCCCCCGGGGAGAGAGTCCTCTCTGCTTGGGTCTGACCAGTCTGGACGGAATGAGATCAGTCTCCATGGGGCTCTTAGGACCATCCCATTTCACAGGAAGGACAATATCAAACTGGGGAGGTTAGGGAGAGAATAACCAGCTCAGGAGGTAAAGAGCCGATAATTAAGATTATACAAGGCAGGGTTGGAGGTACTGGCAATGTTAGGCCGAGTGAATGAAAAATGAGAGTTATGTTGCTTCCATCCATACCAATCTACCTTGTGTCTTAATTGGCTGTCTATGATTGTCATCTTTTTGGCTGTTTATTCAGAAATATTCAATGTGGGGCACTTGGCTGGCTAGGTTGGTAGACCATGTGACTCTTGATCT